CTTGTAAGAGTTCTTTAAGCCCTACAAGTTTACCTAATGTACCAATTATGGGTAAAGAACATAAAATACAAGGCCATTTGTCCACTGAATTCAGGGATCCTCAGACCAAATTCAGCAGCCATTGGCAGACCTTGAGCTGATTAGGCAAAATGCTGAGTCCCTCAAAATATTCCTTTACTGCTAATTGAAAAGTTAAACTCATTAATGGAAGATAAAATAATTCTTATGATAAAGTTTAAAATGTAAACTCTGCTGGGGGGAAAAACAAACACGCACACACACTGACACATATTCTTTGGGAATTGCATAGACACGACATCAAGCTTCTCTGCTTTCTCCTTACCCGAGGGCAGGTTTCAACAGAAGAAGCACAGAGCTGAGTATAAATGGTGGCATTTTATGTGCGTTTCAGTAATGTGAGTTTTACATAGTGCCATAAGAAATCTAATTTCACTTGATCAGCAAAATTTGAATAAATTTTAAAAATTTAATCAAGAGTAGCATAATTCCAGAGCTGATATGCCAAGTGAATATAAACTGTTTATTCAACCGTCACATCAGGGCCCTGTGAACTGGGAAACAGAAACACCTGTCATCTTGTGCCTGGATTAAACTGGAGTTTTGTGAATTTTAATTATGCGAGGCCCTCAGAAGCATACCCCTTGCATGAGATGCGTCTGCCCGTGTCCAAAGGTGGCAGAGAGGGGGGCAGAGGGAACTGCACACGCCACCCTGTGACTTGTAACCAGGAAGGGCAAGAAGGAAACAGGGAAAAGAAATGCATGACTAGAAACGGGTTCTTAGTTACCAGATGCTGCTAAGCGTCACTAGTTTTTCATACTTTAAAAATGCGACCCAGCCCTGGCCAGTGGGGCTCAGCGGGTCGGGCATCATCCAGGGCACCGAAAGGTCGCTGCCTGGATCCCAGTCCGGGCGCAGGCCAGGGTTGCGGGCTCCATGCCCGGGTTTCAGGCTCCACCCTGGTAGGGGGCGCGCAGGAGGCAGCCAATGATGGTTTCACTCTCACATCAACGTTTCTCTCTCTCTCCCTCCCCTTCCTCACTCTCTAGAAATCAATAAAAAGATCTTTTACAAAATACAACATAAACATATCTAAATCTTGGTATTATTCATCTTGGGACTGGCTTGATCCACAGAACAAGCTACCCAATGCTAAAGTGTGAAACAGATGCTCTCACGCTCTCACGCTCTCTTTTAATCTCAAGTTCTCTACCCGACGAAATGATGATGCTTACCACAGCCTTTCAATAGAATATTTACATTAAACTTGAAGTAGTTTAACCCTCTGGTTAAACTGCAGCTGGTTTTGCTTTAGATTGCTTTTGTTTCACTTAGATGGAGAGCTAAATTCCTCCACACCTGATGATTGCAGTCCCCAAGCCTGAAACAGAGCCTCAGGCAAGATCCACTCCACACATATGTTTTGGGAGTACCTGCTAACAGAAAAATGTGTTCAGGTCTTGATTTTTCAAGAAAACTATGTATAAAGAACTAACAAATGCCCAAACAACCTCCAAATAAGTACAATGAAACATTCCAAGCCTAAATTTCACACATAAAGAGGAAAGAAGTCCGAATTTGATATGTGTAATATCATTCATCCTTTCGTCATGGGCCAGCGTTTGTGGGACAGGACACCCTGTGGGTTCCAAAGGTACACAGACTGCCCATCAGCAGAATGAGTCTCATGTCACTAGCATCACATTACAATCCTCATAAATCACCTCCACTTATTTAAATGTACAAGGATATATTGGCTACTAGCAACCCCATCCAGAATTGAATATAACGTGGTACAAAGAAATGCAGGTCTCATATTGAGAAGGAATTGGATAATTGATCCTGTATTGCACCTCACTACACTGAACATGGTAGCCATTAACTTACAATATTTGAAAATGGATTTCTGAGATTTATTATCTATAATGAAGGGTCTTAACAATGCAAATATTTTCATGATAAGTAAAGCAAATATATGTGTTTGTAAAGCCACTCTTTGAAAAGCGATTCGCCAAGATAAATATATGTCAAAAGTTTCTGGTAAAGCCCAGCGGGGCCATGGCTCAAGTTGAGCATCGACCTAGGATCCAGGAGGTCGGGGTTTGATTCCCGGGCAGGGCACATGCCCGGGTTGCGGGCTCCATCCCCAGTCGGGGGCGTGCAGGAGGCAGCCGATCAATGACGATTCTCTTATCATTGATATTTCTCTCTTTCCCCCTCTCCCTTCCTCTCCCTGAAATCAGTAAAGATATATTTTAAAAAAACCCACTTTTTTAAAAGTTTCTGGTAAAACGAAAGTGTTTTATTTTATCTGGACAAATCTTTACCATTGAATTATCACTCTCTAACATAAAGATTACTTTAGGAAAAATATCATTAACTAAATTACTGATGATAAGCAATTCTAGTCATTGTCAAAACTTACATGACAAGCTCTCAGGAAACTGTTTTCCTCTAACTTGTGATAACCCTAATAAGACATATCTAAGGAGATTTTGTGTCCATCAACATTTATTTGCACTTGCCATTTTCTATGTTTATGTGAAGGCATGGGCATTTGGGGATCAAATGAAAGGCAAGTGCCAGTATAGATTAGGCACTTCAGAATCAACCTGGTTTCCAATGTAGAAAAAGAAAATCACTATTTCCTCAGGTCACACCTTTCATTGGAAAAGTAAGGATAAAGGGCTTGTTCATAAAATGAAAAAAAAGTCATCTCAGGCATATTCGTATTGCTTAAATTTTTGATAACTACAAGACATTTGCTGATTGTTCAGGATACAATTAGCAGCTGCTTGCATATCCAACCTTAAAGCAAATTTTTATAACTAATTCAACTCTGCTTCCTACTTCTTCATTAATTACTAGCTAAGGGACTTGAAAGTGCCCTAATGAATTTTACATTAGATTTTGCAATATGAACAGTGTATATTATCACCACTTCTAGTAAATACATAAATTGGCTTTTCCAAGTTGCCAGTTGTAAAGATTCTGGCTGGATTTTACAACATTTAGCTTTAGAGACTGAGCCAAGAAGAATTTTCACAAAACACAACTTGCTTTCATCACATTTCCCAGGTCAAAAATCAATCTTACTACTTTATTATAATCTGTTCTATTTCTCAGAGTTATTTTTTCTCTCCTGTAGCTCTAAAAGAAGAGAAGGAATCCTGTCTCTATTGATTTTTAAATATGCATTAAATAAGGCTTAAAAAATTGCTGCCATACTAGCTTTCTATAAATTTCATATAATACATAACTATCCAGTGATTTGACAACCCACTGAATTTTGGATTTGATACTCTTGGTTTACAACTTCACGGCCATTTACCATCTTCATAAAATTATTTGAAATCAGAAGTTTTAGAAAACTCTACACAAACAGACTGAGCATAAAAGGCACAGCACTGCACCTAAATCTAATTAGAAACAGGTACAACCTTAAAATTGACTTCTCAAAGAGCAAAACCCAAACTGCCATGGAAATCTCATGGACAGCTTTCTTTTATAAAATATTTCTCTAATTTCAAGCAAGATGAAAGGTCACATATTGAATATCGTCCAATGAGACACAATATCACAAATGGCACACCATCCTTAACTGAGTGTTCAAAGCAAATATCATATGGATGTTATTGATTGCATGGATATGATAGAGCAAAGTCACATTGATGGAAGTACATGCAATAGAAATGTAAAGACATTTACATTTGAAAAATACAACGGAGCTCCGAGTTAGCAAAAGTCAGGTCCAGATTCTCAATGTTTACTCTAAAAGAATCCAAAAGCACCTCAATTTCTACTGCTTAAAGGTTAGCATCTGATAACAATCCTTTTCTATTATTAACACTTAATAATACTCTCAGAAATCATTTGATTTTCAGTTATTGTCTCAGAATTGTTTTTCCTGCTCAGATTGTCAACATAATCATACAAGCAATTCTGTTATTAGCCAGAGAGTTTATTTCCTAGAGAAAATGTTGCTCATATTCCTCTCTCCAACTTGCATAACAGTGTATAGGTTTCATTACAAACTCTTCTTTCTCATTACTTAGATTAAGGAAAACAAATATAAGTTGAAAACATACAGCTAACAATAGTTCTTCATGGCCAGAATCAAGATGCAGTACACCAAGTAAGCTTTGCCTGGCAGAAGTTTGATGGTCCATGAAATATATCTATTACTGATAACAGATTCAAAGTAGTTTTGGTCCCACCTGTCACTATTTTAATGATGGCATTGCCTAGGGATTTCATGGGCACCAAAGCTGGTGCCACGAGTTTAGGCTCATGATTTTGGAACCTCTTAAAACTATTTTCTTGCTATAAAAATTTAGATTTAGACAGAGTTTCTATTTCAACTGTGCACATTTTTAAACACTGAAATATCCTGACATGAAACAAATATCAGACCTTTCATGGACATTTTACTCTTCAGCTGTTTTCACATTTTGCTTGCATTTTGTAAACCAAGAGAAATGTCCTCGACCCTTTCACTGCGACGCTCCATCATCAAACACTAGAAATAATCTGTGGATTTTAATGACCAAAGAGTTCAAGAGAATTTCTAAATACCTGCAGATTTGCTAAATACCTGCAGAATCTCTAAACACAGTGGTGTGGTTTTCCAGTAAACTGCAGCAAGCAGGAAGAGGGAAAAGCCCCTCACACAATCAAGCATTTCCAAAAAAAATCCTTCTACACTGAAGACACTGCCTCCTTAGATTGAGGCACATTCAACAGCAATCCTGCCAAAAAGCCATAAAAGGTACGGCCACCGAATCCACGACCCCCCCAGATGCGAGCTGCACTGCACACATTGTTAGGAACGTGAATCTCAGCAAACACTCACGAAACTGTATTTTATTGACAACGTTAAAAATAAACACAGCACACAAACAGTGAGCCTTTCCTATTCCACTTCAACTTCGTTATCACACTCTACCAGCCTCTATTAAAAAAAAAAAAAAAGTCATTACCTGTATGAAGAGAACCTGTTAATAGTCTGAGAAGGTACTGGGCAAATTTCAATATTTCACGTTTACACCGTTTTCTACAGCCACTCATCTTAAGCAACAAGGTATTCCTCTGAGGACAGCCAGAAGTCTTTGCCAATAAAAAAACCCCAAAAAGACAGTCTCTGAGGGGAAAGTTCTGTCTCAGTTTATGTCACAGGCTGCCTCCCAACTCCTGTGGAATTAGCTGCTAGTGCCTGAATCGGAAATTCCTGCAAAAAGCTAGAGAAGCCGAGGCGGATAGAGCAGTGACAGGGTGGAGAGAAAGGGCTGCTCCTCGGCACGGTCACCAAGTTCTTCGGTGGCAGCAGGCAGGCTGCCCTTCACACTTGTAGCAGGCTCTGGGGCTCGGCTGGCTCGGGCTCAGCGTCCCCTCTCCCGAGCAGAGCCACTCGCAGACCACTCCGGGAGGCGGGGCCTGCGGTGCCAGCTCATCAGTGAATCAGCATGGGAGCGGGCGAGGGGACAGGCGACAGACAGGTCACCGGGGCCAAAACCCTCTGGATCCTAATAAAAGGAGCCTGCTAATGCAATCGAGCCCGCTGGGGGTGCATCTTAGGGTCCGAGGCAGGGCAAAATGACTCCAAAAATAAAAGGGAAGGAGGGAAGCGTGCTGCTCAAGGTCAGACACCAGCCAGTCGCCTGAGAGTGTTAATCAGATGCGGGAAGCCTACCTGGTGGGGAGGCTCTTGGAGGCACTGACCCTGGTGCTAAACACAGAGCAGGTTTACCTGCCAGGAGAGGCAATGCTGTCCTGTCAGCGAGAGATACCCTCCACTTCATGGGCACAGAGGTGGAAAAGAAGCTGTTGCCGAAATTTGGCTGCTTTCTGCACTGTCCAGGCACAGGTATTTAGGAATTAGGAAAAATCATTATTTCCTTTAAAGTGCACTCGCCTGGAAACCACAACTTTTCAGCCCCTCTACTTTGCCTCCAGGAGACTAAGCTCCAAAACTAATTTGCTGCATTAGCCTCAGAGAAAGGGCTTCCTCAGTTTCTCCATACTTATAAAAGGCAAAACGCAACTTGCCAGCTCCCTACTAATGGGCTTTTAAAAAAATATGTGTTTTTATTGATTTTAGAGAGGAACGGAGAGAGAGAGAAACATCGATCAGCTGCCTCCTGCAGGCCCTCTACCGGGAATCAAGCCCGCAACCCGGGCATGTGCCCTGACCAGGAATTGAACCGGCCCCCTTTCTATGCATGGGATGAAGCCCAACCAACTGAGCCACACCTGTCAGGGCCCAATGGACTTGTTAGTGAGCACCATTGGGACAATTTCCAATTTTCACAAAGTCCTTTTCTATTAAAAGGCAGTAAGTATTAAAGAGGAAGGCAGTTGCTTTGAGAGCCAGAAAGCTACAGGCTTGCCTTCTCTGAAGGTGAAGGGGCTTGGTTTGAAATTTTTTTGTTTTCATTCTTACATGCCTTGGGCAGGCTGTAGGATTTGTCTACACTCTAATTTATACTCCTGGGATTTGGTTTGTTTATTTTGTTTTTGCTTGTTTTGTATAAGTGTAAATATTAAAGAGATTTGGTACATATGGGATGTGCATCTTTCATATTTTAAATATCTAGACAGGCTCTTTTAGTTATTTTTTCTTTACAGTTGTAACAATTCTAGTTGAAACCAGTATTTCCCAACCATACTATGCACGAAATGATGTTCTTTAATAATAAAGAAAGAAGCACTTCTAAAATCCTAGACTTAAACAGATTTAAGGACAACTCATCTCTTCTATAACCCTTGCCCATCCCCACCAGACTCAGTGGAATAAGTATTTAAATGGGATCATGAAGCATGCTCTCCAGAAATTTTCAGAACTTTAGTTGAAAGTGTCTCAACTAAAAATAGATCCATACACAAAAGTCAGCAACATGCTTCTTGAAATTCTTGCTCCCGTGCATTTTCCATGAGTAAAGGTGTCCCTCATTTGAAACAGGCAGAAAAAAATACACTCCTGTAGAGTTATGGTTGGGCTAATTATTTTAAAGCCTCACTTTATCATGTACAAAATGGGGATCAGAATATTTCATTCATCTGTTGCAGAGTGAACTATGATAAAATATAGATGATACTAAGCACAGCACTCTCATGCATTTACACACAAATTATGTATTGAGCCCTTGTTATGTTCCATGCATGGTTCTAGGTGCTGGATGTACAGCAGTAATGAAGAAAGGCAAGCCCTTGCATCCACAGAGCTTATAACTCAGCATAATAAACAACAAATAAACAAGGAGTAAGTAAGAAAACATCACATATGAATAAGTGCTACAGAGACTATTAAAACCAGATTGGTAAAATAGAAAGTCGGTAGGTTGAGTGGTCAGGGAAGAAAACTCTTTTAAAAGTACAGTTATGTTGGGATATAAACTATAAGAAGGAGCCAACCATGAACCATGAAATGTTTAGGGGAAACAGCATGTCAGGCAGAGGTAAAAGCATGTGCAAAGCCGAGAATGGGCCAGGAACAGAAGGAAGGGTGCAACTGCTGAAGCATGCCCACCGCACCAGGAGGGACTGACAGGTGGCTTCATGAAGGTACACAGGGACTACCAGCCAGGGCCACCAGTGTGTAGGGCCTTCGAGCCAGGGTAAGGAGTTTGGATTTCAGTTTGTGTGTGCTGGGATATCTCTCCAGGGACTAGAGAAATTTTGTGATCTGCCTGCCACGTAAAGGGTGAATTGTAGAGAGCAAGAGTGGAAGAATGAACCCCTCTGAGAGAAGTGGTCCAGAGAAGTCTTTCAGAGAAGTGAGAAATGATGGTGGCTTGGACTGGAGTGGAAATGAGAGGAGGTTGGTTTCTAGATATATTTTGAAATAATTAGTAGGGCTGGGAATAAGGGAAAGAGAAGAATTAAGGATGACTTAGTTTGGAGTTTGAAAAATTAGGTAGATAAATTGAATGAACTGATGTAATAGACACACTGTGGATAGACTACAGGGGTTAAGAAAACGAAAAACTCTACTCTTGACATATTAGAACTGAGATATCTTCAATGTCCTAAAAATTTAAGATGTATTTTTAACTAATCTATTCATTTAAAAATACCTTTTTAAATGGTGTCTACCACTACAGAAACTGTAGATATCAAAGGAAAATAGGATACTACATACAACTTTACAGACATTATTTGACAACTTATGTAAATTAACACTTAGGTGTAAATCTAACAAAACATGTATTAGACTTGCATGATGAACATTACATTCTTGAAATGACAAAAGTATAAAACTGGAGAACAGAGTAGTGGACGCCAAAGATTAAGGGTAGGTAAGGGGTGAAGGGAGATGGATAGAGCTATAAAAGTGCAACATGAAGGACCTTTGTGGTCATTGCAATCATCTGTGTCCTGATTGAATCAATGTCAATATTCTAGTTGTGATCTTCTATTACAGTTTTTTATCTGTTACCATTGGGGAAAACTGAGGAATGTGTATATAGGATCTCTTTGCATCATATCTTACAATTTCACGTGCATCTATAATTATCTCAAAACAAAAAGCTACCTTCAAATTAAATAAATGCAATTTTTAAAGTACATTTTTTAGCTCTTACTATACTTTATGGTTTCAGGTCTGAATATACACAAGTGAACCAAAAAGACAAAACTAATGGTTTATGCAGCTTATATTACAATGGGGGGAGACAATAGAATGAGGCAAGGAGAACTGAATATGTTGAATGGTGATGCAAGGAAAATGGAGTGATCGGAAAAGGCCTCATGGAGATGACGTTTGAGCAGAGTGTTGAAGGAGGTGCAAGAGTGAGCCACGTGGGTTCCTAGAGTACACGTGCAGGCACTTTCCTTGCACCTGCACCTTTAGGTAGCCTCTGACAGTCAGTCAATACAAATCATCCTGTTGGGGAACTTTCCTGAAATAAGCCCTCTGTAAAGGCTCATGTTTGATGTCAAAGCCCATAGCAATAATATGGTCAATCTTTTCTCCAGGGAAAGCAATTACAAATCACCAGTTTTGTTAGAAAACCCATTTGTCTGTGTCTATTTATTGGTGGAAATTGTGTTGGGAAAATTCTGTTGTTTAATGGTATCCTGGGGAAGGCACAACACATAATTAGTAAGATAAATATAAAATGTCAGGGTAATATAAAATTTAAAAAAGTTCCTTTAATAATCAGCTAACCTGGACTAATATAACCGTTATCTCCAAAAGTATCAAAAATCAAGGTTGCATGCTTGAAAATAGCAGATGTCTTCATTATGTCAGAATTGCTTCAGGAATGTGGCCTTCATCACAAGAAAATGTAAGTGAACTTTATAATAGGTCGCCAGAGCTCAAGGGTTTTCTAGATGAACAAACTAGTTAGCATCTTAAGCATAAGGTACAGCATCTAGTAAAGTTTCTTGCAGTAAATTTCTAGCTCAATTTAATTTAAAGGCAAACTAGCAAACCATAATGTAAGAACTAAAGGTCCTATGATCAGGGATGATTCCACAAGCAACTGCTGGTCTTAAGTAAGTAAACAGGAACACAGAAGTGTGGGCTCATTCCAAGATGTATTCTCCTCATTGCGTTTTGGAGGGATTTATTTTCTATTTATTTTCCAACCAGCTCTTTTTGAGAAGTCCAAGTTCCAAATAAAGCAACTTTTAAATATACTTGAGTCATCCTCAGTGCTCCTTAAAATGGAAAAATTAACAGGATTGATTGATTAAGGGAAGATGGTTGGCTTTCCTTCAGGGAAGAGAAAACCCACTGATTCCTGAGAACACCCACACCATGATGGAGTTTTCCCCCCAAATACTGCTTCTCTCAGTATATCTTGCTGTATCTGTGGATCTCAGTGAGAATAGACATTGTTATGCTTTTCAAATTGTCACAAGTTGCAAAATTAAACATGTGCAGCTTAAAAATAGCTCACCATGGGGCTGCAGAGAGCAGCAGAGCCTAGAGGCAAAGGCACAGGTTTTGAAAATGGGTCTTGATAAAATATCAGACAAGCCACTCTCCATTAAAGAGGAATGCCCCAATGCCAGGTCCATTATTATTCCAGGAATATCACTGTTCACCTACTTCAGTGAATAGAGAGCATGCCAACATCCTAATAACTTTTGCATCAACTTTGGAACCAGCTTTGTGAATACCAGGAATGTCAAAATCAAACCTTCTGCCGTGAGACATCCTCCTTTCTTGTACTTATGTCTAAATAGACCAAAATACATCTAATTAGTATTCTAGGTAATACCTAGGTGATGCTATTATTCATGTTCTCTATCATCACTTAATATCCTACAACGAGACTAAAAGTACTGATAGATATGAGAAATTTATGGA